GGTTAGGGTTAGGGTTATATTAGAAATATATCATGATATATGGCCAGTTGAATTTAAAGTCCCCTTCAGGAAACCCAGTTTCCTTGAAAGTTCAAATCCACGATTGAACTTCTACATAATACTATATAGTTTACGGAGCAGCAGGCTCAATGGTTTATGAAAGAGTTATTAAGAGCAGCCGAAAGTCTTTCTTACCACTGGGATGTACAGAGGAAGAGCCAATAGAGTCCTTGATTCTTTGAGACTGGCTTTTGGCTTTCATTGACTGATAGTCCTTTGGTTCAGGCTGTAAGAGAAAGATAGAAAATCACACCGATAACAAAATCATCTCTAATCCTGCTGCTCTTTCAATGTCAATGCATTTCAAGGTCTTGAAATGCATTAACAGTGGAAGAGCAAGTGACTCCATGAGCTCACCCTTTCTCCCGCTTTGACTGCTCAACAATTCACAACAGGACTACATGTAGCCCTACATAGCAGTCATGTTAAGGGGGAGAGAGGCCCCGCCATTCCATCCCCCTTAATAATTTCCACTCCCCTTCTACTGTATGCCAGCTAATCTAACTATAAATGGAATGCAATTGAGTGATTTGCTCGTAGAATTTGCAGGCAAAAATTTCATTATCTGTCACGCACGTGTATGGAGGCAGTAGCGGAAAGCTGAAAAAGACAAGTGTCCTTTGACCAACCTGTGGTTTGATATCTACAGGTTCTGCATCTTGTCCTGCAGTGAAACTCGATGACCTGGTGAACTTGTTTCTGTCCAGGGTAAAAGCAAGTTTGTCCATCTCATCTTGTGTATCAGAATAATCCAGCAACATCTTGTATCCAAACTACAATAACAAAAACACAAATCTTGTACATTCCTACAGCTTAAATACATTAAAGTACTAGTTAACTCTTTAATTTAAAGAAGGAAAGTGATTACCCATCAGATATGCTGTTTTCACTTAAGTTCACAGATTCAAGAAGCAATAAAATGTACACTCTATGAGAAGAGCACAAGCAGAGCAACTACAGTCTTCTCTACACACATTACATGCCTACAATTATACAATGGGGCATGATAGGCACGGAATGCGTTCAGAAAACTGTAAGGGATGCTAGTCCTCCTTATGAAATAGCACGTGGTGATGCTCCATCCAGTCAATGCTGTAATAGTGCCACCCCCCTGTTCTCCATTAAGCCCAACTCTCCAGTAAGCCCTGACCCCCAGAGCTTAAAGTACATGTACCCATTGCAGGTTACATCGTTACTTGTTAAAGGTAAGATTTTGGAAAAAAAACACTGTCTCCACCTTTAACTTCTTAACATTTTGATAAACTAACAAATTCTCCAACCAAGCATTATCACAATTGTATCTTAATCGGTAAAGGGAATTATCAATTCAATCAAGCCTGATATACTCACCTTAGCAAGTCTGATGCCCACTACCCATCGTTGCATTGTCTTGAGATCCTCTGCACAAAAACACCGAACTGCTTTGGATTCCAGATCGTGAAACTGCGGATGCTGCAAATAATAATAATAATACAACAACATTAAAACTACTGACAGCAGAACCACTGTATACGTGTAACATAAAGCCAGGACCTCGTTGTTTGAAAGCTAATTTACACTAATCTTATATCTGGCTATAACAGGTGATACAGGTTTTAATTTCTCTTCTACAAAATAATTGTTTTACTGTTTGAATGTTTTGTAGAGTTTGAGATAAGTCAATGCTAAAACCATACCATAGGAAGTGCAAATTAAAAAGATAAATTGATTAAATTAAAAAATTCACACTTTTCCTTGATTAGCTTCATCACACTTTGAACAACCAGCCACAGATCCGGAGTTGTGTAGTTATCAAGACAACAGTTGTAAGTGTACCTTCAAAACAAAGCAGTGCTCTGTAGGTGCCTTAAGCTTCTTCTTGAATCCCATGCCATTAAAGATTGACACATGCTCAAACTTCATTAAACACACAATATCACGTGATGACTAAAATAAAATGAAAGGCATAAATCATTGTTAATACGCACAAAAAGGCATACATGAATGGATTTGGGGAGAAGGAATGGGCATTTGTGAGAGGAATTAATTCTATCTCAGTGTAATACATTTACATGTGTATTTGGGTTGAGTTTGTTGTTGGTCCCGAGGGTTTTTCTCTGGATTTTTCCTGTTTCCCTCCATCGTGAAAAACCAATATTTCCAATTTCCAATTCAGCCAAGACAGACGACCTGCATGGAAACTAGCTAAGTATATGGCAGTTGGATAAAGAGGCTTTGTTGAAAATAAAGGGTTTATATCTTCTTGAAATACAAAAAAATTATGAGAGCCAACCTTAGTTTTTCCCTTAGGTGTATAATAGATTCCTGAAGCCCTCAGAACAAAGTAATGCTTTTTCCATGATCTTTTGCCTTCCTTGAGGTACAACACCCCATCCAATTCAGGCAGTCGCATTGCATCTTTTTGAAAGAATTCCTGTAAATAGGCACAAGAAAGAGAGGTAGTGTTACCATGGTTACAGAACATCTGTAGCTGGTTAGAATAGTGCAAGGCAGAGATTATTCAACTGGCAATCAGTTTCTGTCTAATCCGGTTATAAAAGAACAGCAAGCAGTGTATTGTTTTAGCAAGCAGGAACAGGAGTAACAGTCCAGAACCTACTTGTATTTATTAATTTATTATTATGAATTTTAGAGTCAAAAATAAAAAAATAGTTTCCCTTTCAAGACAAAGCATAAGTGATGTTGCTCCATCACTGAATATACTCCCGCTGAGAACTAATCATGTCTACAGATTTGTTCATAAACCATGATGAATTGTCTATTTCTCATATATAATTACCAACAGTTAGCAATAAATTACTTAACACATATTGCCCTTGAAAGACAAACATCATTATTCTTGACTTGTGGCTGAGGAATACACCTACAGTACCTGAAACTGCAGGATCTAATGAACTATTCCTTACAGTGTTTATTATAACAATTTGGCTAAATACCCTAGTTTGCTTTACGCAAATAATCAACTTCGTGTTCCTACAGGCTGACTGCTTTACATAGTACATGAACATGCATGTACTCAGGAATGGCCCAGGTAAGGCCAGGCGCACCACTGTACATGTAGCTTTAAAAATCTCGGAAAACATGAACAAAATCACCTGTAGTAAGATGTCTTTACTTTTCTCTGCTAACTGTGCAGCATCTGATGATGTGTCACTTGTCAGAAGAAAGTTCTGCAACAAATCATGTCAGAGAAATTGCTGTAACTGGCTGGGATCATATAAACAATAATTAAATCTTATTCTTGTTTTTTATGCATTTTGATAGCTACTGTAGTAGCTTTACAAAGAAAACATGTATTGAACATTGGTACCTTTGGTACATAACTAAGGTTGCATGAACATTATAAAAATGGCCACATTACTTTGAGTAAAAATGCACATGGATGGAGTCCTGGGTGCTGTAGAAATATTGCAAGAGCATGAAAGAAGCATGTGTAGTACACAAAGGATATAAACATAAGCAACTGGCAAGGAAGCCATCATGTAAGTATAAGTTATGAGTACAGTAGAACCCCGTTGATCCCATCACCAATGGGCCACAAAAATTTAGCTGTATTAATGGGGCACCTGGCCGTATTAAATGGGTTCTTTAACTAAGAAAATGACTGACAGAGCTTTTGTTCAGGCCAGAATGGAGTGGCCGTATTAATGAGGTGGCTGTAAAAATGAGGTGGCCATACCAACGGGGCGGTCGTAAGGCAGAGTTCCATTGGGTTACAAGCATTCTCTTTTACACACCTGTGGGTTTCTAAACAGGGCGTACTTTTCTCTTCTATTATTAATGACCAATTTATTTTCAGAATCCCATGGCCAGCTTGAAACAACATCCACAACTGATTCATGGTCTTCCAAAAGTCGCTCTGAAGAAGAAGCCAGACAATCACATATTTGACAAGAGACTAACCACATGTAACACAATTTGCTGGTTACAATACTGCAGTGTAGTATAATAATTATTAAACCTCTTTTTCAGGAATAATAATGATGGGGAGTTAAATTTACGAGGTCCTTTATTCTGAGAGGCTGATTTTTTCAGGGACTTGGGTGAAAGACTCATGATAAATAAAAAAAGATGCAGGAACCCTCTTGATGTTTTCTTTTTATATAAATTGCTTTTTGTTGTTTGCTGTTCATTTCCATTTGGAGCTACCAGAGATTTTTGGGTCTGGTTTTAGCCCACCTCCCTGTCACTTTTACACCAGAGTACCCATCCCTCCCCCTCAGAGAAACATACAGCACAACACAATCATTAATTGGGCTTTATTCTTCAGAGTTTGTGCGTTATTTGAATAATGTCATTATACAAGATCAAAAAAAAATAATAATAAATGTCACAAACTAACCTATACTGAGCTGAGGAATTCTTTCAATCAGAACCCAGTTAGGATCTGGTTCAGTGTCATTTTTGCGCATCATCTTTTTACACACTTCCCACGCTGTCCATGTTTGATCAATGGCAACAGTCTTGGATGTAGGATCCTCATCATTGTATACTTTAACGACTAACTTCTTCACTCTTGCTGCCCTGAGTTTCTCCAGAGCTATCCTTATTTTTTCAGCTTTGATTCGTTCATGTTGTTCCTCCTACAAAAAAGACCATTTGACAGCAACAGCATTCAGTCTTATGATCAGGACCCACTTTCTCCTAACTGATCCCCATACATTTCTTTCAATGTCAGTTATGAGAATTTGTTGTCTGTCAATTGAATAGAGTAGCAGAACAAAGCTTTAATACTTACAGGAGTTAGCTGTCTTGTCTCCTCCTGAACACTTTCTAATCGACTTAGAACATCAGCCGACACCTACAAATACACATCAATTAACACAGCATTAGTGTATATAATTCCAAGCATTTATTACAGCAACACTGGCCAGGTGTACCCTCATGGATTCTGTGGAGCACCAACAGGTTTTTGAACTCCCCTCCCCGACAAAACAACCCTTCATACCCTATTTCAATCCTGTGACCACTAAAATCCCTGCGCTGCATGAAGATCAACCACCAACATTTGTAAGCAAAATCCTTAATTCCCCTGTATGATAGTAGCTCAGTCTTGATCTTCTGTAATTAGCCACCTCTAAGTAATCTAATAGTTTAATCTTGATATCTTCTAACTACCCCGTCCAAAACAGTTACCCATACATGTGCAGTGTACTTATATTTACACACAAGTTAAATGTCATTAAGTTAATACAGGCACATACATAAATGTCATGTAGATGTGTGTAAATACATGTTAGATCTGTGCCTAAACCCTGCATGACTTAAGGTAAATTTGTTTTCATGACATCTAGAGTGCTGGGGCACATTGCACGTACACTCACAGTAAGACACATCATGAAATGTGCCTCAAGACACACAAGCATGGAAATTATTCTGATTATACAGTTCAATATTTCAAGAGGTTATCTTTCCCATTTCCCTTAACATGGTTTCTGTGGTGACTGCCAGAATTGAAAACTGATTTTCCCCAAATGGGACACTGACTAAAAAAAAAAATTGTCAAAGTCTGCACTTGATACAAGTTTTAACAACGGAAATCCTCTAATGGGGAATGAATAATTCTAAATAATTTTGTAGATCTTAATGCTCACAAAATGATCTAAGCACAGGAAGAGGCTGCAGTAAAAAATTGAATCCAGCGCCCATGAGAACCAAGCAACATGTACTATTTACATGAACATGGGTCACTGGAATCCGATTTCTTGAACCCTCATTTTTTTTAACCTCCCAATAACTTGAACCAAAAGTCGTTTCCCTCTCCTCAGTCAAACACTGTAATTCTACTGGGCCCGCTTTCTCAAACTATCCTATTTTTTGAACTAATTCTCATTTCCCTTGGAGGTTCAAAAAATCGGGATTCCACTGTATCTCAAATGAAAACCACTTTTGAGTATTCATTAATTCCTTTATGATCAGTGCATGTACTGACTGTACATGTCCATAGCATGTCCATAACCAGAACATTCAAGAGAGAAATCCATCTAAGAATTAATTAACTAAAAATAACTGAATAAGCTACTGGGTAAAATTACAGCTGTACCTACTCCTGAAAACATCTTCAGTGACAGGAAATAGACTTAACAAGCCAAAAGCAAAGATTCACAAAGGCTTATTATAACTATTGTTGGATGAGGACAACAGCAAAATTCTTTTGAAGTTAAATAGGATGAAATTGGTTGAATTGCCAATTCTAAATAGTAAACATGCCAAGCCATGGTTACAGTGTATGTGACACTATCTTGCTGTCAGACATTACACAAAAGCTATGTCTGTTGCCAAAAGACTTCAAATTTACAACATACCTTCATATTTGGTGAGATAGGAGAGTTCATTTTTGGGCTTGAAATCGTTTCTGAAAACACTGACTCTGTTTCACTGCCAAAGTTCATGTCTTTTTCCATAATACAGAGATCTTCTAACAAGGCATCCAAATCGACTTCACCACTTCCTGTCAATATATTCAGAGATTTCCATATCACAGTTCTATTTGACACTTATTAATTACTAACGGCATAATAGAAGGAATGCTCTTTTCATCATGCAAATTCAATCATTTGATCAAAATCTTACTAAGAAATGCCACAAGGGATTCATAACACAGATAGACATGCCACAAAACAGGAAACCCAGAAGAACATGTACTAACCACATCAGAGGAAATGACTTAATGTTTTGCTTACGATGTTCCTGTTAGCTTCAACTCAATGACTGAATAAGACGAGAGAGATCAAAGTTTATTGCATGGCTAAGCCAAATGAATCAACAAGAAATGCGATACTCAAAAATATCAAGTGACAGACTACAAAGGTCAGAAAAACAGAAATTTTACATGCAATTATCCATACACTGTGTAAACTGATGTTTTCTGACACAACAAAAAGGTTTAAAGCAAAATAAACAAAGGCTCTTCGATTTTTAATTTCTGTGTACCATGTACTGTACATGCATGTATTTTAAAAAGATCTAGGGTTGCAAACATCTAAAGATTAAATATTTACAGTGTTGCCTGCAGGACAACAATAGAAATGGGTTTATGTTTCAAGCTGAGACAAAAAAATAACATGAAATGGTGACATGATGCTGTGACAGCAGGCCTGCATGCTGTGTTCTACAGTAATCATTACATCACACTCAGTTCTGTTCTAGAGCTCCATGGAGAGTGGCACATTCATTTAAAACAAAGATTATTAATCTGTTTGAACAAACTAGAACATAACTGTTTTAAGACACTTCCGTGATGAAGCTAATAAACAGACTTCAAGCCAATGTTTTTGATCACTTGCCAATGCTGGGTCTTTTAACTGGTGATAAGATAGCATGTGTTTCACAGATTAGGTGTCAATAAAACTGTTTCTTGTCTATCATGTGAAATTCCAAATATTGTAGGAAGTTAACTATAAAACACCTTGTAATTCTTTGAAATATATTATTTACAGACAAGTACATATACGTTTGCCATAGATATGTATACTGAATAATTTGCTGAGCTCACAGGGGCCACAATAGGAACCTTGAGAATGGTACAGAGTATGTACACTGTAAACATGCCACAGACAGAAAACACAACAAATTGTCACCACTTCCCATGCTGATATGTCACTAAAACTGACAACCAAGGTTTTGAAAATTTAATACAGTACACTACAGCAGGATTTACAGTTATCACTTGACTTTTTTCCCAAAAGAATTATTTAACAAGGTACATGTATGTACATGTAAAAATCGAACTGAATTATGGTTCAACTTCAAGGGTTAATTTTGTGCATACATGTATAAATTAATTAAACAAAAATTAAATTTACTTCAGCTACATTTACATATTATAATCATCTAAATCCACGGAGAAAATAATTTGTCTGTAAAATTAATTTAAAATAATTAAAAAACTTTGCAAGTTAGCAGAGGATTTGACAGAGTTGATTTGCCTTGTTGCCTTGCATCAGGGTGGTCAAAAACAAACTGATCCTAGGGAAGTATGTTAAAAATCTTGTCAACTTACACTGGAGATAAGACATCCTTATCAGCTTGAAAAAACACAACCAGCAAACTTAATGAGTGCCCTCCTACATGTGCATGTGCTTGTGTTTACAAAATTAGGGAATTCAACAATTTAAGGTGTAAACTAATTTTATCAGTTATCTCAAAGAATCATCTTGACAGTAATTAAATAGCCAGACTACACTGAAAGGAATCATATCGAAGGGTTAGGAAAATTAGTCTGGTTGTATGATAATTGATCACAAAAATAAATAAGAAATATTTCTTGTCCCTTGTATTTAGCTCAGTCTACAAAATTGCATTTATTTAGTTTTGAGCAGCTCTGTGTACTAGATGAATTTAATAACCTGAAAACATTTCAAGAGATTTCCAGAGCTTTCTCTATGTCATGTAATCTGATCTTTGTTGAAGAGAGCCACTAACTAACTAGATTACACTTCTGGATTAGGATTAGGATTAGAAAGACCTACATCCAAACATTGGAAATTATTATCAAAAACACAAAAATTGAACTGACAACTTTGCTTGTGACCAAGTTCACAATGTGGGTGTTGCTATTTTAATATTCCCTCCAAGGTGTAAGGAGAAATACTGAATAATTTACTACTAATTACTTCATGTTATAGAACTGAGAAAAGTGCTGGCCGCACATTAATTCTCCTATTCGTACTACTCTCATGCAGTTGCCCAGAACTTAGTAAACTATAATGACTACACATGCATAATAGTGAGGGTATCTGGCTCGCAAGACATTTAGTGAACTAAAACGTTCAACTGTTCATGTATCTTACTAAATAAAAATTATCTGTTCATTGGGTTGGCACGCACAGCCTGTTTGGTATGTGTCAAGGTACATGTAAATGTGGTAGTAAATTTGCAGGACAGCAATTTGATCCAGGAAATTCAGTCTCTACTGAATATGATTGTAACAAGTGTATTAGAACAAGTCTGACTCGTTTAATTCTATCAGCTAGAACAATGGGAAATTATTTCACTTTCAACAACTTAATTATGTACACATTAAAATTAAACATCATTGATGGCCTCAAGTAGTTGATTTTGGAAAACTGTGTGTCATTAATCAAAAGCTTTCACCTTTCTCACAACATGTTTGTTGACAGTGAGTCACAGGTACAACCATTCTAAAATATTTATACAGTCATGTACATGTAGTTGGCATTCCTACATGTAAGCTACTACTGGATTTTAATATTTTTGAAACCTACCTTCAATAGCACTTATGGAAAATCTGAACTGATCCTAAAGCAAAGAAAAAAATATTACATATTCAGAGTATACAAAATATTATAAAGATATCCTACCTGAAACAAAAACCTGCAATGTCACAAGTTAATTCAATAATTTTTTCACGGAAATTATACTGAGAAATCATCAATTGGCTACATAACTGTATGATTATGCTGGATGGCAAAGGGAGGAGGGGGAATGGGACAAGGAGGGAGAGGAGGTTAATGCCCTGTATAAGTTCATATAACAAGAATAGTCCGGTATTTTGTGTTTGGTTTGAATTCTTACCAAAGGTTGTGATGGTGGCACAAAGGATAACACCCCTGGGCTTTGTTCATCTTCTGTTGACTGTTGGGATTTTTGTTCCAGCTCCTGTAGAAACAGGGAAACATGGAGAGAGTTGGCATATGTAAGAAAACTTGCTTTTGCAAGGTTATGCAGATGAAGTTTAATTTGCAGATGGAATCTTCACTTGACAAACCGTGTTAACAAGTGTTCACTAGCAATTTAGATCTACCTGTACAAACTATGTATATCTCTAACAGCTCTAATTATCTCAGAAGTGACATGATTCTAATCAAACTCACTATCAACCAATGCATACACACACATATAAGCAACTACAGTGTACATGTAGGAGTGAAACGCAAGCCTTAGCATACAGTATGTGAACTATTAGCCTATATATTTAAACCCCACATAGACTGAAAGCAGACTCCTTTGTGAAAAAAAAGTGGGAACTTTTTTTTATTTGACTTACTTCATATATCCGGGGGAAGAGACAAACTTCTCAAGAGTGGTACAGAATCCCCCACATTCATCACCAACTGCAATTATTACATTCTCTAGGTTCTTTCACAATTTGTTATATTGTCACACTGTGTGTACATGTATCTAATGTACAACATAACGATCAATTCTAAACTAAATCCTACTGTAAGTTTATTTTAATTTATCAGTTTTGATCTGTCACGGTTTATAAGAGCTGTTTGCTGAACATGTGTTATCATAAGGTATTCAATGGTCCATTTACAGATTAGCAGTGGTCATTATGCAACAGACAGCTGACTATACCGTACTTCTTGGCTAACAATGAAAGGCAAACTTTATCAAAGAGACTTACCTCCTGGAAACTCTGTAACTCATTCAGCATTTTATCAATATCATCATCATCTTCATCGTCATCATCATCCACACTGTCTTCTGATTTATTAGCAAGCAGGTCATTTTCACTGCTTGCTGGCGTCACTTCTGCACTTGCTTGCTGGTCACTGCTGTCTTCATCCATTTCTACAGCACCACTTGATCTGTAATGATAACATTTGGTTCAGTCAAGTCAGACACAGTCACACTGCATGCAAATACATGTATATATTACTGTGCAGTTCTATGTTCAGTTTACATGTATGCAGTAGTCGTAACGAGCCCTTATTCCAGACTCAGGCGCTCTATCCACTGAGCTACGAGAACTCATGTAGAGCAAGGTCAACTGAGTTCATATATGACAGGGATCCTGCATACTGCTAGGATCAGCACCACCAAAGTCATCGTGAGTGTGATAAGTGAATAAAGATGGTGAATTTTTAAGTTCAGAAATGAAATGTGAAAAGTGAACTAATCAACATGACATGAATGTGAGACAAAGAAAAAATCTGAGTCCCCAACAGGAATCGAACCCATGACCTCCCAAACACTGGGCGGGCACTCTATCCAGTGAGCTACGAGAACTCATGGAGTTCATGGAGTTTTCTTTGTCCCATGCTCGTGTCATTTTGATTAGTTCACTTTTCACATTTCATTACCGAGCTTAAAATTCACCATCTTTATTCACTTATCACACTCACGATGACTGCGACAGTGCTGATCCTAGCAGTATGCAGTACGCCTGTCATATATAAACTCAGTTAAATAACCTTGCACTCCATCAGCTCTCGTAGCTCAGTGGATAGAGCGCCCACCCGGTGTTTGGAAGGTCATGGGTTCAATTCCTGTTGGGACTCACATTTTTTCTTTGACCCACACTTGTGTAATAATGATTAGTTCACTTTTCACATTTCAGATATACTCCTGGGGACTCGTCACAACTACATCAACTGCTCATGTTTTTGACACTATCAAAATCAATTGGTACACGATGCTCTTGCAAAATCACGTCAGAAGCATGGCTAAGACTTCTTCTTTTAAGCAGATGATCTTTCGGATACATTCCATTGTGAATAAAATCTTGAAGAGACAAAGTTATAGTGCTGCTGCTTCTGGGCTGAAAATTTGCTCTATACAAGTTAACTACCTCCGCGGCCACCAAGCTTCATGTCTGAAATTGTACTGAAATCAGATATCCCAAAGTGTAACCAATCACAGAGGTGGACTTAAGACCCTTTTGTTTTACAGCCAATCAGAAAAAAGTCCAGATTCTGGACTACGGGCAGATGACTTGTGAAATAATTGTATCAGGCATTATTTTTTCCTCCTTC